GAGGTAAATAGAACACTTGAAATATTTGAGGGCTTCAACAGCTTCAAGATTAGGTAGACTGGTTTAACAATAGTAGGTCTTAAAACTACTGAATCAGGTAGCTGAGGAAGGAACTACTTTTCCAGGAAGTGGTTTCATATGCTGATTTTTAATAGCAAAGTTGTTGCTCTTGTTGACAGTGAGTGCTCCTCGATCTCAATGAACAGCGCTTGTACTAATTAAGACTATTCCTATGGATGTAACTATGCTGATATATGCTAACTGACCAAAGTCAAGTGGGAAAAGATTCATGGGTGGTGAACAGAACTGAAAAGTGTCCAGTGCCCTGATGATCCAGGGAAGACAGAAAAGCAAAGTGGATTCCAGAGTCTGAGGTGGAAGAAGAGGAAAGGAATAAGTGGATTGCAGGAAGTCTGAAGTGAAAGCCAGATAAGTAGAACCCTCGAAACCCAAGCCTTGGAGACTCAAGAGAATTAGGTCAGAGGTATTTCGCCCAGGCCAGTGTAGGAAACCTAAGGCCTAGGAGCAAGGACCTATTTTCTTGTGGGTCAGGAGACCTAGACAAAGATCTTAGGTTTGGTCTATGAATGAAATTGGGATAGAACTAATGAGATAGGTTTCTTAGAGAATTCAGAGAGCCAGACCTGGAGAGTGTTTGGCTTGACTCCTGAGTAGAACAGAGTGTACAGTTCTGCAGATGCTGAACAGGACCCAGACTGAGACCTAACAAAGCCTCACCAGGCCCTGGGAAAATTCTTACAAAAGCAGCTGTCAGGGCCAGGGTATGAGAAAAAGATCATTGCTGAAGTTGAGGACCCATGATCTGGTCCACAGTGATGAATTTGGAGTCTATGAAGGCAGGATGCCTGGTATTTACTCACATATTCCAGAGTTTAGAGTATTAGTTAAAGCAAGTCATTTCCCATCTCTGGGCTTTAATTTTTCCTCCTCCACAAGCTAATACAAATTTCACTGAGTTGTTACAAGAGTCAAATTAAGAGCTCAGGCATCAAAGTGTTTTGATAGTGGTATAAATGCTATCCACCTGAGTCACTATTCTTTACTCTTCTTCATCACTCTTAGTAATATGGATCACAGGAATGCCTACTGCTTCTTTATCATCTACTGGAAATACATCCCAGACTTCTCTTAAGCCATGAGCAGCATCCTGGTGGCCTCAAAGTCATCTGTTGAAGATTGGGGGCTGCATTATGAGCAGCAGAAGAGAGGTCCCCCTAGCAGGTGAACTGGGGCTCAGATAGGACTCTCTGTGATGCCTAGAACTCTGACCCCATGAGAGCTCTGAGGAAAGGATCATGTGTATTTTTTCAGCAGTTGACTTTTTCAGAAATATGAAATGAAGCCATCAAAATGTCTTCCAGTTTCACTTGGGATGTAAGGTGGTTCTGTTGTAGAGTTGTCACCATGGTCTTTCTTCAGGGTGGCTGAACCAAGATTAGGAAGCTTAGGCAACAACTAGTGCCCGAAAAATACCAAAATTCATTCAAAATTATCCTGCTGGATGCAGGGAAGATGAGTGGGATAAGCTGCTCCTAAGATTGCAGAGCTCAGACCACTAGAAAACCGATTATAGTACTTTCACATTTCATTTTCAGCAGCAATCTGTTCTCACCACCAGCTCATTTAGCACCAACTCCAAGGTACTTGTGCACAGATGCTCTGCTTTACCAAAAGTCCTCCTGGTGGTGACATAGAGTTGGTATGGAATACACAGAAAGGTGCCTGGTGCCACAGTTTCCTCTGTTCTGTGATTTTCAGATAAACATTTGACTTCCCTGGCATTCACAGGCCAGCACAGGCTGAGAAGTGGACTGGAAGCCAAAACACTTTTACAAGATTAAGATAACCAAGACCAAACTATGCTGAGTCCTAAGATGTCTCCTCAGCAAGACCCCAGGCTACTTCAAAGATTGTAAAGACATGAAAATGCACAAGGTGAGAGGCCAAACGGAGTCCTATTTCTTCCACTGCAGTGCACAAAGAGAGGCAATTTAACCTAGTCATTGAACACAGGGTTGGGTCAGGAACCTGTGCTCTGGTGCTAACATTGCACATTGTCTGCTGTGTAACTCTTAGATGGGTCACTTAACCTCTCTGTGTCTCAGTTTCCATATCTTTCAAAAGGGAATAAGAAAGTGGCTTTCTCATAGTATTGCTAGGATAAACAAAAAGATAAAAGGAAATAATCCATGTAAAAACCTTTGGGAAAAAAGTAGAAAATACTATACTGAGTATTATCATTCGATGATAAGACGTTCAAAATGTTGTTTGGTATCCTTAAGCTTCACACCCTCCACCCTGCCCAACCCTAACTTTAAGACAATGAATTTCCTCCAAAAGAAAGCCCTTTTTCTTATTGCAGTAGCATTGTGTTTAACCAGTACCTCCCTCTGTCAAGGTTGACCTTTCTCTGTCAACCGAAAGACTCTGGACCAGGATGACAACCTTGAGGATCCTTCTTCTGGGAGTCCAAGCCATGAAAAAGCCCATAACACAACTAAAAAATGCCAGGCTCTCTGCCCCTCCAAACCCCTGCATGGGCCACAGTTAACAAGGATGAGGAGCAGCTCAAAATGAGAATTCATAGGACCTTTGCTAACCCTATGCCAACCTGCAGCCACACAGGACAGCAGCATCCCCTTGCTGCTCAGAGAACCCTGTGGGCCACTCCTACAGGCAGCACAGACTCCATGCTTACATGTGGCTCACCTCCTTTCCTCTGTACTGTGTATAGGAACAGAACTGAGCCTCATCAAATGAGCAACAACATTTTCTGCATGGCTTCCACTACCACTTGAACACTGGCAATTCCTATGCCTCCTTCTGAACTACTGACATCTAGAGCTGGCTGCCTTCCGGTCATATTCTAATGTATCTTCCACAGAAGAACATCAACAATTCAAAACTTAACTTCTTCCTCCCCCCAAATATGTTCTTTTTCCCATGTTCCCATCACAGTAGGCCAAGACAGACCTGGGTGTTGAGCCAAAGGACTTTCTCTGCCTCACCTCCTATCAGCAATTAGACATTGAGTCCCAAACTCCTGTGATTTGATATCTCTTGAAATCCTTGCTTCTTCTTCATTCCCATCATTACTGATTTTATTCAACCTCCTAATTCTCCTCTATACTATTTTGGTCTCCCTTACCACAGCTAATGTGACCCTTTGAATTTAATTCAAACCATGTCCCTCCTTGCTGGAAATCTTTCATTCGCATCCTACAACCCCCAAGACTGAATCCCAACTCCAGAGTGTAATTTACAAGGCCTCCCAACATCTCTGGTTTTAATCACTCCCATTCCCCGGTGCATCCTGTGTTTCTATCAAGCCAAATTATCTGAAGTCCCCTAAGTGGCCCAGGCTTTCTTTTACTTCTAGGCCTTCCTAGTTGCTAACCCCTTTAACTATTTATTCTACCACTCTCCCCTTCACTAGTCCAACTCTCCTCCTTCAAATCTCAGCTTAAATTCATAACTCTAGGAAGCCTTCTGTGAACAGTCCCCTCTCCCAGAGTCAGGTGCTCCATTGTCAATGACTACGTACTTCATCATAATTTATTGTTGTTGTTTGTTTAACTGTCTATCTCTCCCACCAGACTGTAAGCTCCAGTGTGGGACTATTCACCAATGTGTACCCGGCACCTAGTAAATATTTAGCACATATTAGGAGATTTTATATATATACACATATAAAACATTGAATGAGTAAATGAATGGATGGATAGGTGGCTGACCCAGGTATAAAAGGTTAAACCCCTGAGAGACACAAAGGGCCTATATACAGCTCCTCTAGGACTTCTAGGCCAAACCATTTTCAACAGAGTAGGACAGGACAGGCATAAACAAAAAGCCATTTATATCAGAGGCCTGCCTAGACTTCAAGAGGCACCAGAAATTTCCAAGTTCACATTTCATTTTTGCCATCTGTCTGATCTAAGACATATATGGCAATGGTGCTGCTGGGGAAACTTGGTGAGGGGTAGGTAGGCTGAGCAACTAGCAAAGCTGTGCTGCAGGACCAGAGGGATGCTGTAGGGTCATGGATACAGGGTGGGAGGATACAGAAGAGCTGACAGAGCATCAAGTTCAGGGCTGGGTGGAGTCAGCAGGAGGGCTGATGGCACTAGGCCAGAAAAGACAACAGGATAAATGGAACAGGGTCAAGGGATGCAGGGAGGGGTGAGTGGAGGGCATGGCACAGTACTGAGGTTCCAGCTAGAAGGATGCCATGGGTGGGAAGAAAAGGGTAGGGATGGGAGTAGACAGCTGAGGATTGTGGGATTTCTGGATTACTGCCAAGGTAAACAAACACTTCCAACAAGCTGGTAGGTGGGTGGACAGGAAGGTCTCTAATAGCTCATCTTCAAGAGATCTCAGTGCCCCTAGATGCTCACCTGCCTCTGTAAGACATCCCTGCAGACCACTCACCCAACAAATTCCATTGATTCAAATTCTAAGGCCAACCAACTTTGGGTTGTGGGGGCCACATAAAATATTTTCCCCACTTTCACTGCAGAGAGAAAAAAGTTCAGGCTTTGGATTATATAGACCTCATTTTAAAATAGCCTCATCTCTCTCTTCCACCTGCTATAGGCCCTGGACTTCAGCTTCCTTAGCTGTACAATGAGGATGCCTGCCTCACACAGTTAGGAGGTTAAGTGAGACAATGCTTGCGAAGCACCATACAGGTTCAAGAATAGAGTAAGTGCTCATAAATTGGCTTTCTTTCCCTTTCCCCTTGCACTCTAAATGAAGCCCAGCAGGTCCCATTTTAAGCATATAGATAGGAGTGGAAATGGGGGTGGAAGAGGACCTATATTGCTAACTCATTAGGACAGAAGGCATGAGTCAGGACTGTATAACATCCAGGGATGGAACAGGAACACTCCTCCCCCCACCCTATCATCCTCATCCATGTGCCTGGGGTCTTGGCGATCACTGGGTCCCCTGTTGTCAGGGAAGATAGGCTCCATTAGTACCTTTCTCACCACATTTGGAGAGGAGTGCTGGATGGTGCTGTCCACTGGGGGGACACTGAGAGGGGTTTCTTCCCCAGATGCCTGGGGCAAGACAGCAGCAGTATTCTTGTCAAGAGGGAGAGCTGACTTTGGGCCCTCAGATGCTGGGGGCTCATCTGTAGCCTGAAGAAGAAAATAAGAACCTGAGTGGGTTTCACTGTAGAGAGTAGCAGCAGCAAGAATTAGTGCCCACCCTGCCCTGTCCATTGCCACCATTTACGCGTTGTGAACTGCTTAAAATTTTTTCAAAAAGAAAAATACTCTTATCTAAACTCTTCTTAAGACCACATCCTAATATGACAATATTAGGATAGAACCCAAACCAAGAATTCTGAACTAACTCTGTCATATTCACTTTAGCAATCAACATTGTTTTGACTTACATTTAGCTGTGGCCCTCTATGAACCCTAGACCCTTCTCTGCTATCAGAGGGATTATTCTATATTCCCTCAAAGGAACTGAGCCTCAGGGGAAGACATTTGAAGCATGATCTGAAGTTGTCAGTGCTGAAGCATAAATGTGAGGCCTTACATTTTATAATAAAGTAAAAGTCTGTAGAGCTGCTTTGAAGATATAAATGTGATTACAGATTTAAAGGAGACACCACTATGGAAAAAGTGAGTAGTAGGGAAAAGAGGCTATTATAGGAGGTTCTGGGAGAAAGGGAAAGCAGGAGCTAAGAATGAAGATGTGGAATGCAGCAAAGATTCCAGAACTACAATCTACCTCTTCAGTTGTCTTGCTGAGAAAAAAGAGAAGCAGCACTCCACTCCTTAAGCTCTCCCCTTCTCCCTCTCTATGATTCATAAGTTCCCAGCAAGGGAGTTGGGGAGGTTACAAAGATAAGAGATAGTCTCCCTTCTGTCCCGGCACTGGCATGAGTCCAGCACAGCTCAGAAGGTACCACCTCTGGACAAGGTCTCTAGAGTCATTCAGGAAGACAAGACAAAACCAGGCCACTCTGGAGAGTGCTGAGTCCTGATCTATGATGGGACTAAGTACTATGTCCTCTGGAGCTCTCCTGAGATGGGAGGTTGAGCCCAGGGTAGTTTTGAAATGTGAGGGCTGAGCTCAAAGCCACCCCAAGATGAAGAAACTGTTTTCCTGTGACTGGAGAGTCTATGTTCCCAAAGCAATCCTGGGATGGGGAGAATATGTGCCCCAATCCACCCTGGGGCTCACCTGCAGGGTGTCCTCCTGGCTCTGGGACTGGACAGGTGCTGGCTGCCTCACAATGTAGTTGATCTGCCCCACAATGGTTTGCTGAAGATGCTGAGGAGATTTGGTCTGACTCAGTTGCAGGCTGGGCTGTTGAGCCTGAAGGAGAAGCTCCAAGTCCTTCTGCATTTCCTCCAGCTCAAACTTGTGGTGCATTATGTCCACGTTCTGGGAACAGGCAGGCCCAGGAGGGCTCTCATGCTGACTAGAAGCTAGATGCTGGGATGGAGGTAGAGGTAGGGGTGACTGCTGTGGGGGTGGAGGTGGCGGAGGTGGTGGAGGGTGCAGCTGCTGCTGTGGCTGCTGCTGAAAGTGACTAAGCTTCAGCTTCTGATGGTGGCCAAACTGGACTTGGATAGAGGGTGTCTGTAAGGTGGCCTGGGCATGGGCTCCTTGAACATCCTGTGGGGGGACGATGCACACAGGCTGCGAAGTCACCTGATGCCCCAGCCGCTGGGACGTGCTCTCCTGCTCCCCAGGGGGCTGGGTTTCCAGCCAGGGCTGCAGCAGCTTTGGTGGATGAGGACTGCAGGCCAGCTCTTTCTCCCTGGACAGCAGGGTGGAGCACTGCAGTGACCCCAGCTGTTGGGGCACCATTTCAGAGGGCTGCCTAAAGCTGTGAGCTGGGTGTATGCTGGGGGGAGGGACCTGGCCTTTGAGGGATGGTGAGACTGGGGAGCAGTGGGAGCAGCACAAAGATGAGGAGCAGAGTCCTGGGGACTGGAACTTGTGTGAGGGGTGGCTAAGAGCATCTTGCTGAGCCACTGGGGACTGGTGGCTTTGATAAAAGGATGATGGTCCCTGTAAGCCTCCATAAGCAGGAGTATTTGCCCGGGACAGTTGTCCGCCTTCAGTAGTTATACAGCCTGGAAATTCAGAATAGACAGTTTTTCCAAAGGTAATCTATAGTTGCTCCCTCCTTGCTACTTCCTGCTCCTGGGACCAAAGGACATCATTCAACAAACCTGTACCAGGCACAGAGATGAAGAAGTTCTACCCCTGATCACCCAGACTCAGTCTAGAATGCTGCCAGTAATAGCACCTGTATGGACCTGCATTCAGGGCTCGGACATTTGAGAAATTAGGTCATCTTTTACCAGATGCTCAGCCCTGACTCTGTTTCTATTCCACTAGGGAAACCATGGCTCCCTCAAATAGTACCCACTTCCTTTTTTAACAGGACAGCCCAACTGACACTCTGACAAAAATAATCAATATGGGGAAAAGAGCAGTAAGGAAAGTGTGCTGGAAGTAGCAAAGGGTAGAATTATCTCTGGGACAAATGAGTAAGTCTCTAGATAAAAGTGTGGTAAACCGTGTTTTGGGCAAGTAGGATGGAAGAGAATGGGGAAGCTCCAATGTCAGGTCAGTGCCAAGTACCAGCACTGCCCTCTGAGCTCTCTGGGCTCCTGTGCATGAGTAGATTTTACTTACTGCTATCTCGGTGTAATGGCTCCTTCACCTCATTTTTTTGATGAGGCATACTTAGGGAAAGACTGAGCACCTTAAGGGCAAGGGGTGTGTTTTATTCACATTTGGTCCTTTAGTGTCCAGCATGGGGTCTAGCCTAGAGCAGATGCCCACTAAAGGTCTGCTGAATTAAATCAAGGGGAGAGGAAAGCAAAAAATAAATCTATATATCATTTATTACTTTGCAAGTTCAAAAAACTTTCAATGTAATTAACAGCCTCAAATGAAGGCAGCAGTTGGCCATTAGTTTAACAAACTCATTAGGCTGTCAACACAGGCACAACTTCAAGTTGTCTACACTCTGCCCAAAGACTGAATGCCAGCAAATTATGGCAGCAAGGAAGAAATTACCTGCTTACATCTCAACTCCAAAGGATGTGTGTGTAACACACATGGCATGCACACACATGCATGCAGTCTACTGTTGCTGAGATACCACTGCTTGTGCTCACACATGTATACCCTTGAGTGACCACAGAGACACATGTTCACCTTCACTCCTACTCAGCATTCTGGAGAGCAGGACCACTGTCTTGCCTCCTCTCCAGCAATGAAATCGAGGTAAAGGATATTCCATACAAAATGGGAAGCTCAGATTTCAACTGGTCCTGTCACAAAGCCTTATACTGCCACTGTTATTTAACCTCCTCATCCTCCTCCCTGCACACACACACACCCCCACCCCGCCAAAAAAAAAAAAAAATGGTTTGCTGAATGACTCCATGACCACCGGCAGTCTCAGGGAATGCTTTTTCTTGGGCATATGTTGTTCTACCCAGTAAGCTAAGCAGATTCATACTTAGCAATTAGGTCAAAGACCACAGGGTGGACCATGGCTCACCAAGGGAAGCCAGCTGCTTGGTCCAGAAGTTGGGCTCCCAGGTGAATCTGATACTCCAAGGGGAGCCAGGATCTGTGTTACAACTTGTCTCCAGCAATCGCTGCATCTGAAACACAATCTGATAACAGCACCAAAGTCATTCATTTTTACATCTTGTGCCTGAAAGACAACTCCCTCTCCCTCACTCTTTGGGCAGGTTCAGCCTTGACTTTGGGCTCAGAGTCAAGGCTCTTTAGCCTCTGGTCTTCTCCTATATTCTCATTTCCTTGCATCTTAGTACCTTCTCATCCTTCCAGCTGATCCCCTTCCTCTTATCAAGGCTCTGGAACCTCTACATTCTATCTCTTCCAGGCCTCAAGTGATTTGTAATTCTCTCTCAGGATATCTCTTGCCTGGCAACTCCATTCATTCTACCATCACTGCAATTTACAAGCCTATATGGGCAGCATTCTTCCCATTGTTGTCCTTCCACCTGCATGTAAACCAGCATTCCATCCTACTCAATTAATTGCCCTCTTCCTCTCCCATTGCACTCATCTATTTCCCATCACCAACTCTCCCATTTATCTAGTACTTTGGCAAGTGTCCAACTTACCCTGCCATCATCTAGTTAACCAATGTGCCAGTCAACATTCTTGGCCTCTTACTTGCTTGATCTCTTTAACGTCTATCACTGTCACCTCTATTTTCAGTTCAGTCACCATACATTGACCCTATTTATTATCTAGAACATTTTACCTATGAGACTTTGAACTCCAACAACCTACTCTCTCATCATAACTAGTTCTCACTCTTTCAGAGCATGCTCTTCAACCTCATTGAACTTTCCAAGTCCTGCTCCTCCAGTCCCAGGAACTCCCAGCTTTCCATCACTCTCAGTAACAATATCACTAGTGCCTTAATTCCCTCCCCATCACCAATTCCTAACCTTAGGTCAATCCAGCTATCCCAAAGCCATGTTACCTGGGGCCACTTCAGTAATCATTAATTTCAGGGGCACCCGTCAGCCCTTCTTCTTATCACTCCCTTTCTTGTCACCTTCCTCTTCCACTGTCCTTAATGACTATTTAAAATCTTCACTTCAGGGCTGCTTACCCAATGCTTAACCCTCTTATTATCACCTATTTCATAGGGGGAAAAAGAGACCATTCCTACCTCCAAACTTAACTACATTATACTGCTCCCTTACTGTCTTCCCATCTCAGAGGAAGGAAGTGTCCTTGTGTTTAAGGTCAACCAGTTCACTCTAGATCCCACCTCTTCCTGCCTTCTCAGTGTGCTCACTCCACCACACTTCTGTCTTCAATCTCTTATCCTATATAAATGTGTACAAATGTTTTCATACTTTTAAAGGTTTTCCCCCACTCTGCCTCCTCCTCAAGCTACTTTATTTCTCTTCTTTTCACTTCTGTCTATACTCCCTCACTGCCCATCCTCAGTCTCCTCATTCTGGCTTTTAACCCTTCTATTTTACTGAACTTCTTTTAAAAGATCACCAGGGACCTCCTTATTCCCAGATCTCAAGGCTTCTCTTCACTATTCATCCTCTTTTACCTATGTAGCACTAACCACACTGACATTTGAAATTTGAAACTCTTTTAATTTCTGTGCACCACACTCTCCTATGTCTCCTCCAACTCTGACTGTTGCTTCGTACTCTCCTTCACTCATCCTCTTCCTCTATCTATGCTTAAAGGAATGGTACTCCCTGGGTTTCAGACCCCCCGCTTCTTCCTCCACACACAGTCTCCTGAGGTGATACCACTGATATCCCAGTGACTACCACATTTCTATCTCTAACCCTGACTTCTCTCCTAACTTCCACACCCATCTACCAAAGCAGCTTTGGGACATCTTTAAGGTACCCTGCATCTCTAAATAGAAAACCCATCAACTTCTCTCAAAATTCTTGCTGCTTCTCCTGGGCATGATCATCCTCCACGCCCAGCACTTCAACATCATCTTCAAGTCCTCCTTTCCTCTTAGTCCCCCATTTAGACCCCAGTAATCTGTGAGATGTCCATGATACTCATGTCCAGAACACTACCTGAATCTATGTCTTAGACAAAGAACCACAGACCTTCCTAACTGAGTTACCTGTGGAAGGCAAGACTATTGCAGCACCTGGGTCCTTTTTACTGTGGGGTTTGGTTAAAAATGGCGTTCACTTGCTAACCCAAAAGCAGTGATTGAATCTGAAAGATGGATGGAGCTACTCTCTTACTCCTTCTATCCTAAAAAAAAAAAAAAAAAAAGGCACTTCCAGGGACAGCCTCATTGCCCCTAAGACAGAGGAGGTGTTCTGACCAGCTTAAAGGATGGGCTGAGGAGTTGAAGATTCCTCTTACCAGTTCTTTGCTGAAAAGGAAAGGGACGCTGGTTTTGCTGCAGACAGCCCAATTGATGAAATTCTGCACATGCTCAAACTGACGGTTGAGAACCATAATGCTCTGTAACTGCTGTTCCAGCTTCCGCTTTCTCTCATTAGTAATGCCCTGGGTATGGAGAGAAGACAGAGTCCCTGATCTTGTTCTTGAACTGCAGCCCACCTGCATGGGAAGACTGCTGGCCTATGTGTATCAGTGCGAACATTGATGGAATCAGATGAGATTGCACCCCTGCGAGGATGACAGCAGGACAGAGTACTGCCATGGGCTACTGATGGATGGGGAAGGGAGGGAGAGATGGGGGAGATTTTATACTAAAAAAAATATGGAATGGGCGATGAATGAGGAAATGAATTGATGTCTATGTCTCTTGAGCATAACTTAGACTGCTGGCCTATGTGTATCAGTGCGAACATTGATGGAATCAGATGAGATTGCACCCCTGTGAGGATGACAGCAGGACAGAGTACTGCCATGGGCTACTGATGGATGGGGAAGGGAGGGAGAGATGGGGGAGATTTTATACTAAAAAAAAATATGGAATGGGCGATGAATGAGGAAATGAATTGATGTCTATGTCTCTTGAGCATAACTTGCTAAAGAAAGTGAATTGTTTCATGTCTCTCTCTTCCAAGACTATAACCCTACAGTCTAGGATGGCAGCTAACTAAGAGCCATAGCATTGGTGGGAGTTCAAATTGTTTACCAGCCCTTAATGAACCACCCTCCAAAAATTAGACAAGGAGCAGAAGAGGGCTTCAGAAATTGCATATGTGAATTCCAGCCCACATGGCTCTGGGCCCTCAATCTAGTTTGATATGTGCCTGGTTTCTGACCCATTGAGATCACAGAACCCATCCATCTGATCCATCTGTCCACATATACCTCCAGCTCCTCTATGAGCCCATTGGCCTGTTTGTTCAGCTCATTCATCAGAACCATCTTGGCCATTTTAATTTGGTTTTCCACCTTCCTGTGCTGATGCTTCACCTCAAAAATCCTGTAAACACAATGGGACAAAACATAGTAAGCCCTTCCCTCATGGCCTATGAGGGCCAGGAGACAGCAAACATAAGAACCAACAAGTTGAAGGCTGCCTTTTGAGATCAGGGCCCAGAAGCAGCAAACATAAAGAAAAGAGAACCTTCCTCTACCATCCCACTCATTGTACAATCTAGCTCACTTGATCTAAGTGGGCCAATAGCCCAAAGTTCAGGTTGGTTTTCTCTAGGTAAACCTCAAGTCCACACCCAGGTTAACTCAGCAGCTCACCAGTTGGCAAAGCACTAGAGGAAGGACAGAGTGAGTACGAGTACGACTTCGTGTAAATTGTTGTCTTAAAAAGGAGGATGCTCCAATAAATGGTGCCATGAAGTAAAAAGAGCATGGGAAGAGACAGAAAGTAAACTAGTAGTTTCTGAGGGTTGGGGGTGTTGGGGGACATAGGGAGTGACTAAAAAAGGACATGGAGTTTATTTTAGGAGTGATGAAAATGTTCTAAAAGTAGACAGTAATTGCATTTCGTTGCACAATTCTATGAATATACTAAAAACCACTGAATTGTACATTTTAAGAAGGTGATTTTATGATATGTATATTATATCTCAGTAATTTCTTTTTTCTGTTTAAAAAAAGAAAAGAGCATGGGCTTTGAAGTCACCACAGACCTAGCTTCCAAACCCAGCCCAGTCACTGATTAGCTGTGTGATCCCAGATAAGTCGCCTAACCTCTACGAACTTCCTTATCAGTAAAATGGAGATAATCCCTGACTAAAAAAACTATAAGAATTGAACAAAATAATGCATGTTTGATGCCTAGCCCAGTGCCTACATGTGATGAGCTCTCAGTACCTACTAATTCCCCTTCCTTTGTAAAATGCCAATAATTTCCTATCATTTATAGATTTATATGGAAAACACTGGGTAATTCCCCTTCCTTTGTAAAATGCCAATAATTTCCTATCATTTATAGATTTATATGGAAAACACTGGGAAAGAGGCAATAAAGGGCAGATTGTCAGTTACTTGTTACACCCTTATAATAAACAGTGCTCTCACCCAGTATCTACTCTGTGCCCTTGTTCTCAAGCATCTACTTCTGGCTAGTTCATAAAGCATATACTCTGGCTGAGACTCACTCTGATCATTTTGACCTAGCTTGGCCTCAGTCACCAAGTGATGACCCTTCACTGGCCCTAAGACCTTTAAGGCCAGGATATATGCCTTCTAAGATGTATGCCCACATCTGCTTAACTGAATGTCCTCTTCATAAGCACTACATCTGATGGCCTGGTATTAGAACCCAGGATGTGAGGGGAAAGAGCGTTTCCAGCAGTGGCAAAGGACAGCCAGCCTGTGCTACCTGTCCTCAATTTGCTTAGCAGATGTCTGTAGACTGGATTTCTTATGTGCCACCTGTGTAGTCACACTTTCCAGTAGCATCCTCTGGTTTTGCAAAACTTCTTCAACATGTCTGCACCTAGGGGATGAGGCAGAGAAAAAGCTGAGGAGGGCTGAGTACTATTCTAAGCATGCCTGCAAGCAGGAATCCCCACAGTGCATTGTCTCAGCCAGGCCCATGGAGGCTGTAAATACACCTAGGGAAAGTCAAAGGTACTACAGGCTCTTGGCCCATTAGGCCTTTTCTGGAGAAGCCCCCCAACAGGAACAAAGAAAAACTTCAGCCCAGGAACTGTAGGTTGGCTTGGGCAGGGTGAGGATTTTGATGCACTGGGATCCTAGAGTTCTTACAAGTAAGGAGTCCAGAGTTTTCCCAAGCACCCTTCAGGCCAGCCAGCCCCACCTGTGTTCTTTGTGTTCCACCATTAGGCAGCTATGGCATGTGAGCACATCACAGGTCTCGCAGAAGAGCTTGAGCACTTCCTGTGTATGTAGAGGACAGTACAAGGTGAAGTCCCCAGAACCACCATTCACTCCTGCCAAAAAAGATGGAGAAAGTAGGCTTTTGTTGCCCAGGCAGACCTCTCAGTTAAGTTCTGCTGAGCAGCCCTCGGCCCTCAGTGGACCCTGTGGAGACTCAGAGCTTGGGGGAATTTGGTGCAAACAGGATATGCCTCTCTCTCAGCCAGTGAGGTTCCAGGGGCTCAAGGAAGAATTCAGATGTAGCCTGACTAGATTTTCCCAGCTGTCCAGATGCTGGCAAATCATTGAGCCCCAACAGCTCACCACTTCCCAGAGGCTGAGGAAGGTGCTTGCTACTGCTGCACGTGGATCTCCTGCAGGGTAACAAACCCTGCAAAATTAATCCAAACCTCTTCATTAATCAGGATTCTGTTATTATGGGACTGAAACTAGCTATCCAGCCCTGCTAAGCTCCAGGCTAGATCACATAGATCACAAACTCTGGTTTCTGTGGGTTTGGCAAATGTAAAACCCTTCCCACAATTCAAGGGCCTTGGGAAAAGACTTTCAGGAAGACTATCATTTAAAACAGATGGTGCTGGGCCGGCCCGTGGCTCACTTGGGAGAGTGTGGTGCTGATAACACCAAGTCAAGGGTTAAGATCCCCTTACTGGTCATCTTTTAAAAAATAAAAAAATAAAATAAATAAACAAAACAGATGGTGCTGGATGGACAAATGAATAGGCCCTGATCTAGACTGTTAAGTTAATCAAGTAACTAAATAGAAGTGAGGCATGATTGCTCTAAATAGAGGTGAAAGGTAGGGAACTCAGCTAGCTTCCACAATAATTCAGAACTATTCCACCCTGCACCTTCTAACCCACATACCCATCCAACCCACCCTGCACCACCTACCCCCACCCCTAACAGGGGGAGACTAGAGTGAGTCACCCCTTTTGAGTCTGAAGAAGGTCTCCTTCCTTTGGGAAAGACTCTGAGATCACTGCTACCTTCTCCCTCATCAGAGAAACAAGGTAAGGGAGCTATTTTCCAGGTATTTTAGGGTTCAGCATTGCTTTAGGGCATGAGAGTGGGTAGGGAGACGGGGAGTGGTACCTGGAGATCCCTTCTGAGCCCGAGGAAAGGGTGGGCCCCCAGGGGCAGGGCCGTGCTGGTGTTCCTCTGTGCAGGAGCTGCATAGCCAGCGATTGCAGTAGGTGCAGAGAATGTGTGCTGCCCTCTTTTCCTTGCACTCAGAGCAGTTCTGGAAGCAGAGAGTTCTGAAGTTAATCATTTGGGCCTGCCTCAACTAGTGACAAACGTTCTGGGTGACTGGGGTCCTACAGGGCTGTTCCTCCACTATTTTGGAGTACAGTCTATTCTGGACTGCTGCCTGAGATTAATGCGGGAGCTTGTAAAGGAAAGCACCCTTTGTGACTAAAAGAACAGTGGCTGCCTCAGGGGCTGTTTACATAAGTCCTGTGCTGAAGCTGAGGATACCCTGATGAATAAGCCAAAGATCTGCTTTCAAGACATGCACAGTCTGGACAGAGTGGTGCCCATTAAATGGGTAATGCTCTGATAAAAGGATGCAATGAATGCTAAGGAAGCAAAAGGAGGTTCCCAGGAACTCAGTCTAGGAGTGGCCAGGGAAGTGTTTGCAAAGCAGTCACATTTGAGTCGGATATTGAATGACAAGTGAGTTCACCAGGCAGACAAAGGAGAAAAATATTACAACAAAGAGAAAGCACAGGGGGGCCTGCCTGTGGCTCACTCAGGAGAGTGCGGTGCTGATAACACCAAGGCCACGGGTTCGAATCCCATATAGGGATGGCCGGTTGCTCACTGGGTGGGCGTGGTGCTGACAACACCAAGTCAAGGGTTAAGATCCCCTTACCGGTCATCTTTTAAAAAAAAAAAAAAGAGAAATCACAGAAAAAGCAGAAATTTCAACATGTCTTCAGAGAGGAGAAAGTCCCAGATGCGAAAGTACACAGAAAGATGATCTAATATAGCCAAGAAAGAGCAAGCACAGACCAACTTTCAGAGCTATGTTTCCACACCTGGGGTCTGCCCAGCCTGAGAGCACCTAGTCTTCACCTAGTCCAAATGTTCATTTATTTGGTCAGCAAATATCCTGTCAGGGCTGATATAAAACATCAGGAGAAGAGCAGAGTTGAGAAAAGTTGGTCTGTCTGTGCCTGAATCATACAGGCCACCAAACTGATGTGGATTCTGAAAGTTTTACTAATTAAACCATGAATTCTTTAAAGAAAGAGTATATGGTCTATCTCCCTAGCACCCAGCACAGAGCTTGGCACGTGTAAGACATTCAATAAGATTTAGATACAGCAACAAGTAAGTAAATTAGCAAATGAATAAAATGTAGAGGCAAGGATGCCTTAGTGAGAGAGGAACAGAAGGGGTACCAGTCGGTAAGTGACGTAAAATTTAAGAAACTCAGAAAAAGATGATAGTTGTTAAATACAGGCAAGATTAATAAGCCCATTTAATCTAGGCTAGTGTGTGAACTTCAACTCTGGGGCAAAAAAAAAAAAGGAAATAAAAGCCCTTACTGTTATGTTTTAGTAAGTGCTGTAGAGAGAGAAAAATACCTAGATACCGAGAGATTAAGTGGTTCTTAATATACCTTAAAAATTCATCTTCTGCTCAAAGCATTAACACTGAAAAAAAAGCCTGTAATTTTCACTTAATATAAAATCTCCACTTTGCCTTCCCCAACTCAAACATTTTTATGTTTTTCTGGGATGGAAGCATGAATGGATGAACTGATGATTAGGCAAATTGATGGAGGAGTAACAAGTCAGACAGAATGTGGGTGGATAGACAGACACGGACAGGGGCCTCACAGATTTCTGAAAAGAATCAGCTGCTTTTTTCCTTGTCCTGACTTACCCTGGCCATTTTGGGTTGCCCAGTAGAAAAACACTGCAGAAAAAAGTGTTCGGTTACATCCCTGGTAAGATACACTTGCTTACACCCAGGACAGGAGATGAGCTCTGGGGGGAAAAGAAAGACAGCAGAGTCAGGGCAACATGGCAGATTAAACATAAGGTCTAGACACAGGCTTTCTAATCCACAGCACCAAGATATGTGGCAATACCCACTTGTGCCAAAATGAGCTTTGTTTGATACCATAGCCTGCATTTATCATGTAGGTACTCTGAACATGACCCATTAGGGGCTTGCTCTACAGACCATCTGCTTTCGTCATACCCTTACCTTTACCTTGTCCTACCTTCCTCCTTTCCACATAAGCCATGCTACTACAGGTGCAACCCTGCTCCGGTTCTGACAATCAGCCTTCCTTCTACTCCCATTCCTCATTTCACATCCCTGAGAGCTTTGCTCCCAACACTGCCCAAGCTCCAGAGAGTCACTTAAGCCCAGGGCACAACTCCAGTCATTAAGGTTACCATGTAGCAGGAATACTTTAAAGATCTCAAAGCTAGAGCCTCCAGTAGGCTCTAGCCAAAGAAAGGCAAGGCCTCCCTGCCTGCTCATCTAGGAGATTTTTTTTTTTTTTCTTGGTATGGCCAATACCAAATCAGTCTGCCCCTGGGGCTCAGAGGTATTTTGCTGGGCTATTTCCATAGTCCATGTTGGGTATACCATATAAATGTACATTTCACGTATGAACAGCTTGAACTACTCTCCCCAGTGAAATGCAACAATCTCTAACACATTATTCAGTATAGTGGGCTTCTGAACAATACAAGAGCAACACAAGCAACATGCTGCAGACTACCGTGACTCTTTAGGCACACCCCAAGAGCAGTCAGCCCACTGGGAACAAGGAAATAAGTCTCCTGAGTAGGGCAAGGTACCTGTGTCCAGGGACAAGGATGACCTGGAAAGTGGCTGGCTATGGTAGTAAATGCAGCCATACCACCAGAGTCTTCTCTGCCTCATCGCATCAAAATAGAAAAGAATGCTATAATGGCAGTTACTCTAGACTCACAGTCAGACTAATGAAAGTCCAAATACCAGGTTTATCCACCCAATGACCTTGTCATTTAATGACCGGTCATTTAATCTCACTTAACTCCTCTGTGCCACAGTTTTTTCATATGTAAAATAGAAAGGAAAATAAGAATTGCTGTGAGGATTAAATTATAGTACTTGAGAAAGCACGTGGTCCTCCATGAATGTTGACTTTTTGTTTTGTTTTAGAGATGACCGGTAAGGGGATCTTAACCCTTGACTTGGTACTATCAGCACCACACTCTCCTGAGTGAGCCACAGGCTGGCCCCTTGAATGTTGACTTTTAATTCAAAAAAAAATTCCTCACATCCCTTTCATGGTAAGGCAGTAATTTCAATTATCAAGTCTCCCTGGTGATGAAAGTCAGATAGTCTGAGTGGTGAGTTGAAAAAATCACCACAAATTCTTCCCCTCCCTGAATCCATGTCCTTGCAATCCTACCATCAAAAGGCTGGATTCTCTACCCTTTGAATCTAAGCTGGCCTCATGACCTGCTTTTGCAAAATGGATGCAGCAAAACTGACAACAAGTTCCAAGCCTAGACCTCAAGTGGTTTTATATGACTCAGCTCTTACTCTTAGAGCTCTAATATGGCCATGTGAAAAATCTAACCTGGGGTTTAGACTGCTGGTAGCTGAGAGACCATGCTGAGAGAGGTCTCAGTTGTCTCAGGCATCCCACTTGAAGCTGTCATAAACCAGTTAGTCCCAACTGACCCAACAACTGAACACAGAACACAGATTAGTGAAGCCCAGCCAAGACCAGAAGAACCACCCAGATAATCCCAGCCCAAATTGCCAACCTGTAGAATCATAAACTAAATAAAGTTTAGTTGTTTTAACCACTAAGTTCTAGGGTGGCTAATTAGGCAGTAAAAGCTAACTGATACATCCTGGAAAAATCAAAATCCACAAAATCATGTAAAATAATAGTTTAATATATCTCCCCCCAAAAAAGAAAAACTCCCCCAGTCTCTGTCAGAGCCATGGGCTTTAATGACAGAACTCCATCTGGAATTTCCTGGATATTGTTCTGCCTGTCAAGAACAGTGGCCAGAGGTGGAGAAGGATGCTCTCCCCAGGTGACATCATCCAGGGGAATTGGGTGATTGTCTCTCCTTTCTACATGGCTCACCCTAAGGAAAACCTCCTCATCTACCCCCATGACACAAGTCTTGCTCCAATTACTGAAAATAACTTACACAAGACTTCCAACTCCTTGGCACTAGATGCCCAAACATTAGTCATATTAACATAGCCTCATTAGCAGAATGAAAAAAGAGAAAGAACTGAGTAGGTCAGACAAGTCTTCATCATTACATCCTCTACCTCCCTTAGGCTTAAAGCCAAAATTCAAGGTACTCCCAAATTGGCCTTATCTCTCTCTAGTCTCATTTCCAGCTTCATCTGCCACACACTCTATGTCTTTGCCATGCCAAATCTCTATCTCCTGAATACATCAAACCTTTGCATGACTCTGTGTCTATGAACATGCTGTTCCCTCTTCCTGAAATACTCTTCCTTGCTCCCTTCCTTTTCAGATAAACTTCTATTCATCCTTTCAAACTATTCAAATCTTCCACCTTTAAGAAGGAAGGTTAATTTCCCCCAGAATGAGTTAATTAGTTCCTTTTCTGGGTTTCCACAGCACCCTGAACATCCTTTTAGTATAACAAATACCACATTACATTTTAACTATCTATTCATATATCCCGCATACAAAAATAATCCACAATTTGTAATAAAGGATATTACCTAATTTTTAGCAGGTTAAACCATTACATTTCTTTTAGGTTTCTGTATTCCATGTGTATTCCTTGCACTCACAGCAACTGAAAATAGTAAGAAGCCACCTGGAAGTTTTCTGATGAGCGAAAAAAGCCATTCCAGGATGACAAAGGAGAGCAGAGGTGTGGTACCTGGGAAAGGCTGTGAATTGGGAGATGTGAGATCCAGGCCCAGGGCTGGAACTATTTGACTGGGTAACCTTGGGCAAGTCACCCCCTTTCTCTAAACCTTATTTTCTATCATTAAAATGAGGGGAATAGGAATAGCAGGGAAGTATGGATTATTCAACCCTTTCACTCTGCCTGTAGCCAGGCTTCAGAAATATTACCTTGGGCAAGATGGGAAGGGAGAGACAGCCAAATGGCAACCTGGCTGTCATCCTTGTCACAAAATTGGGGACAAACCTTGTAGCTGAGGGGAGGCCTGGATTTAAAAGATGATCCTCTGAAGAGGGACTTCTGCAGTAGAAAGCAGAGATGGAGAATCTTCATGATGGTGCAAGCACTGTAACAGGGAGACTGCAGGTCCCAGAGTGGACAGAGGACATGTGCTCTCTTTGTGTCACAACACCTTTGTCCAGAAATTCTTCTCTTCCCCTCTGAAAGTCCCTAATTCCCATCAAGCTGTGTCAACCTTGAGATTTTTTTTTAAGAGGATTCCCTATCTTTCAATGAAGATACCAACACAAGGTTTTATTTTAGATAATTGGAATACATGAACTCTTAGGGCTGTGGATGTATATAAAATAACCAAACATCTACTTAAAATATATAACATTAATTTAGTTGTGAATACATATTTAAATCCCATCATACATAAAATATTATTTAGATATAGTGCTTTTTTCCCATTTGAATTATTCAAGCAACAGTCTTGTGCTTTTATTTCACATACAGGAACATCTATTCAGAGAAATACAGAGCCACAATCCCAAGACCACATGACTATCTTCAGAAGAGGTGGGGCTCCTGCTTCCAGAATAAGGAAGTTACAGGCACCAGAGGTCCTCCTGGGAGCGTAGGAGCTTAGGAGAGCAGCTGTGAAAGCTGAGGACGTTCGGTTCATCTGTCACAAGAACAAACACTTCTAGTCCCCTAGAGGGGTGGGACAAGTTTACGTCTGTTTACCACCACTCTCTGAACCAGGCAGTTTACATGTGCTATCTCATTTAATCATCGAACTGTCTCTGAGAGATAAGCATTATGCCCATTTTAAAGTTGGAGAGACTGAAGTTCCAAGAAGTTGTCACCCATAAAAGTTCATAAAAGGCAGGAGCAGAACTACAATTGGAACCCGAGTCTGCTTCTAAAACCTATGACCCTTCCACTATGCTATATATCTCTCTCATTCACTTATAAATAAACAAGATAATTTTATTTCAATTAACAAGATAATTTGATTATAAATAAAATATTCCATAATAATAATCAGACTCTGATAATGACCTGGACCCAGCTCTGGACTCTGGGAATTCAGAAGGAACTGGGAGCCAGCCCCAGCTATGCTTAAAGTTTTAAGAAATATGATCTTTGAGAAAAGGCAAGCGAAATGGAGTTTCTCTGCCTGGAGAAAATAAATCTGGAGGCAGTTTCATTCTATAGAGCAGTGGTTCTCAAACTTTGCTACAAATTTGAATCATAAGGGGAGCTTTAAACATCCTAATGTTCAGTCTACATCCATACCAATTAAGTGAGAGTTTCAGAAGGTGGGATCCAGACACTAGCATTTTTTAAAACTCCCCAGGGGATTACAATGTACAACCAAGTTTGAGGACCAGCACCTTAGAAAGAGCACTCCCTTCCCTTGTGTCTGGCCCCTGTATCATGTAGCTGAGAAAGGCAGGCTCACCCAGTTTTAAAAAGAGGCTCCAAGAAGTTAAGAAAAACTCAATGTAGCTGTGGTATATTGCCTCTCTGGCAGAGAAAAGGGCAGATTCCCTGTAGAGAGAGCACTCTGATATCCAGGTACCCTGTGATTTTAAAAAGAGGCTCCAAGAAGTTAAGAAAAACTCAATGTAGCTGTGGTATATTGCCTCTCCGGCAGAGAAAAGGGCAGATTCCCTGTAGAGAGAGCACTCTGATATCCAGGTACCCTGTGAGTTGGTGCTGAGTTGGAGGACAGATTTTATCTTCCTGGATTTCCAGTTCAACTGAAGGACCCATAAGCAGCCTTAGGGTGTAGCCAGGTTTGGCACTACAATGACTGTTACTGGGACCCAGAGAGTGGGCTGAGCCTAGGACTTAGTGAGGCAGCAAGGAAGGAGGGTTAGATTGGGGCAGACATGAACAGCAGGACCAAGGCAACCTGGGCAACAGGGGAGAGAAATCCCAAGGATGTTTCAGAAAGCTGGCATTGGGTTAGCTCAGGCCACCAAGTGAGGACACATCCACCCCAGGTGCAGAAGGCTGAGCCCAGTACTAAACAACCCTCTGAGGGGTTAGGAAGCCCTTCATGCCACAGCTCCTATCCAGGGCTCCATGAAACTTTGCAGCTGGGGCCCAAGCTCTGACCCTGACAAAGCAGTGTCATCTGCTGGAGCAGCCTAACGTTCCTCTGCCAGTTCCCACCTGCAGAACCAAAGCTGGATAGACCTCTACTGTTCACCTAGCCAATTCTCTACCACACAGATGGTGACACAGAGGCCACAAGAGAGGGAAGCACTTAACTAAAAACCACATAGTCCTTGTAAAACATAGATAGTACCTCGAACCACTGAGCAGTTCCTGATTTACCTCTGCAGCCAGAGGTAAGACACCCTAACTCCCGAAGCCTCTGTCAGGCACTAAGCAAGGAGAAAAAAAAAACAAACAAACAGAGGTTGTAACCTCTGGCAGGCTGGCCAGCCTCACTAACCATTCCTGCCCTTCTACCCAGAGCAGCCCACGTATACTGAGCATCAGCTAAGGCTCCCATCACACAGCCCGAAGCCTTCCTCTAGCCCATAACTCAGAGCAGTACCACCTTTGAGAAAAATGCTGTTCCCACTTCCCAGAAAGCCAATACCTGCTAGAAAGACAGATTTTGATACAAGTCACTCCTAAGGTGACTGCTGCTCCTATTCCTCGCTGCCAGCAGGCTTACCTGTAGCCCTGCTGCCCTGTGATTAGAGCAACACCTGGGAGAGAAGTCAGAGGAGCGACAGGTGAGACCACCACAGGTCCCAGAGGATGGCTCTTACCAAGCGCCCAGGAGCACCCACCCTGCAAGCTGCAGCCAGCCAAGCTGCAGGGCCTAAGCCTTGGGGAATGGGTACTGGGTGGGGTAGCAGGAGTAGTCTGGATCCTCTCCTCCTTTCTCTGATGCATCCTCAGCCAGGGCTGCATTTCTCTAGCTCACCTGAGATGCTCCTGCAAGAAAAGGCTTGGTTGACTCCTCCTGTTCCTGTTTATCTCCAAGGCTCTGCAGCAATTTTCCCAAACTGAACAGCAAGAGGGAGACCTCAAGGAGGCGACTCTCTTCCTAGCTGCATCTCCTTCCTAATCCTCTGGGCGCCTTGGAACAGAAGCTCAGAAGGAAGAAAACGAGATTTTCAACTTTCAGGAACTAGCTCTGTCGCCCTCTGCACGGCTCAGGAGGCCATCACTCTCAGCCTTTTAGACCTCGATCCAAAAATCCTTCAGCCCTCCATGTTCCCCAAAATGACAGAGCTCATGGGTGGCTGGAACCTGCCCCGATCCGGCAGCTCATTTAAATAGAGCTCATCACAACAACAGTGTTGGTGGAGAAGTGAGTAGCTGCAGGGCCCTGGGGACCCCCTGTTTATACGTAGGAAGAATGATGCAATCTGGGTATCAAAATAGCAATCCAGAATGGAATAACAGGCTCACGCAGCAGCGGTGCCTGCACAGCCAGAGCTCAAGTTGACACACTCTGTCAGCCCCACACTGCTGCAGCACGCAGATGCCAGGCACACATTCTCACCGCATCCTTTTAGAAAACAGCAGGAGCCCAAGATATCCTCCCTTGCCCCCGGCAATCAAGGAGGGTGTTGGGGGGGGGGGCTTCGACAGACATTAAAATCTGTCTCCTACACACTCACCTGCTCCTGCCACTTCACCTGAAGTCCTTATCCTGTGACGTCACAGTCAGTTGCCATAGTGACCAATTGTCCGTCACAAGCAGAGGATTAGGACTTCAGATGCAGAAGACACATATTTATGATGCACAAAGGTCCTGGGAAGTGTCCCTTAGCAGCTAACTCTACCCTCTGGGGAGATACAGTCACACATTGGGGAGGGAAAAAAGGAAGGAAAACCAGGGCCGAGTTGGAGGAAAGACATTAGGATGGAGCAAGACTATAAGTACAGGATAATTTCAAAAGCACAGAGCAATCGCATAAGGGGGAGTGGCAAGGAATGAGCTTAAAAAGATTAGCAGGAGAGTAAGCTCCTGAAGGGCCTTGAGTGCTAAGCTACAGAGCTTGACTTTTATCTTAAAAGAAGAGGCAGCCCAAAAAGGTTCTGGAGAGTGACTGACTGGGCTTTATGATTACCTCGATGGGTTGGAGACAGGGAGGTTCAAGAGGTGGCTTGTCCAGCTGAACATTAATGGGATCTTGAATGAGGGTAGAAATGGGGGGAAAAAGGGGGACAGAAGAATTATTTCAAAGAGAACCAACAAGACGTGACCAAAATAGGATGTTGGGGGTGATGGTGGAGTGTGAGGAAAAAGGAGTCAAATGGATAGGCTGTCATGAACAGGGATAGGTAACAGGAGGAAGAAGAAAGCAGTTGCCAAATTCCATCTTACCTACGTCCTACTTTGTCTGGCATCCATAGCTCTTAGGACCAGGCCTCGTCCTGCCTTGCCAAATCTGGAGGGCTTGCTAGAAATCCTGAATCTACCAAATTCACATTTAGTGGGTGTGGTGTGGTGTGGAGCCAGGAATCTGTATTTTCAGCAAGTTTCCCAAATAATTCTTAGGCATCCAGACCAGCACTAGTTCGAGGACCAGCAATCAGGAAGCAATGGCCTGGACAACTGCAGTAGCCTCCTAGCAGGCCTTCCTGTATCCAGTCCCGTCTCCTCCAATGATCCTTCTCATTGAACCAGAATGACTTTTTAAAATACAGAATTGATCATATTCCACTAACCAAAAACCTTCCGTGGCCACAGAATAGCTTAAATTAATCAAGACTCCTCACAATTTGGCCCTAAATTTCCTTTCTGAACAGAGTTCCCACTTTTCTCCTTCAGGCAGCCCATATTCCAGCCAAAATAACTTCCTCCTCTTCCTGATATTTGCCTTGCCCTCTCCTCCTGTGCCTCATCCTAACACTATTCCCTACCTGGTATTCCCTTCTATATTTTTCTGGCCTTGCCTGGCTCCTACACAGCTATTTTTACTTGATGTCACCCACAGGTTCAAACCCACCCAATTTCCCCATAAAGAGCCTAAAACAGGTGACAGAAAACCACAGCCTGTGTGTTTTTGTAAATAAAGAACAGTCATGCCCATTCATTTCCATATTGTCTATGGTTGCTTTTGTGCTACAATGCTAGAGTTGAGTAGTTGTAACAGAGACTGTTTGACTGTAAGCCAAAAATATTTACTATTTAACCTTTTACAAAAATGTTTGCCAACCCCTGGCCTAAAGCAATAGCTCCTTAAATTATTCTAGCCTCACCCTTTGGGGTTTAATTTTGATTATGGGGATTGTGCTTGTTACCAAGCCTGCTCCTATCCCGGTGAACTCTAGTTTAGATAACTGGATCACATCTGAGCTGGACCTTCAAGTTTGGGTAGGTTGTTACTAACAAGAAAAGGAATTTCAGGAAGGAAGAAATATTTAAACAGGATTACAGACGTCAAAGTGTGAGGACTCTTTGGGAAGATCGGTAAGGTTAGAACATGTAGAGGAACGGCAGGAAATGACGCTATAAAATTAGTTTGAGACCAGATTGGGAAGAGCCTTGAAGGCCATGCTAAGCTTCCGTTCTGAACTGCAAGCAATAGGGAGACTTCAGGTAGCTAGAAATGCAGACCCAAAGTCATAGGGAGTGATCAGAGTCAAAGCTAGAGGATCCAGGAACATAACCACAATAGCAACAGGTAGAGTGAGGTCAGGAAAAATATCACTTTGGGGACGAACAGAGAATAAACTGAAGTCAGGTAGGGGTATCCAGGACTCTGGGGAAGAACCAGGCAGTAGATCTGAGTCAAAATCTGGGCATGAAAGCCAGGTGACTGGCTGAGGATGCAGACAGATGCATAGTCCATAGGCTTCAGAGCCCATGCTCCTAGGAATCACCTATCTATGAAATAGGCTTTCTCTTCCAAGGAAGAACCCACAGTGGAATGCAGAAGGTGTAGGTAGGATGAATCCTGGGCTTATTTCATTTGACAGATACTCACTGACCCCGTGGCACCTCTATCTTTTTTTACCCCAAATCTTAAGAGTTAGTCCAAAAACTGATGCACTGACATCCTTCATGCAAAGCCACTGAACCCATTTCCAACTGGCCTGGAGAAAGAGACAATGGGGGAACCAGGGACAGCATCCTACTCTAGGTCTGCAGTTTATGCTGGCCCTCAAGCAAGGCAATTCCTGGACTTTCAAGAAAGGCAGCTGGATTTTTTTTCTTTTTTCTTGGCTCTGAAAGTGACCAGTTATGTGACCTTCAGCAGGATCTTAGCCTTTCTGGACTCCTGATGCACCATCTATGCAGTGAGGGGATGGAGATGAACTCTAGGGCTTTTCCTGCTCTCTGACCTCCACAGCATTCAACCATGACTGGCCCCCTTGAATGAGAGAGTTTCAGCAGAAAAGAAGCCCCTCCAAGACCCCATCCATCAATCATAGCCACTTTGAACTCCCTCCTCAGAAAATCTGTTCTAGCTATAGCCTTCCAAACAGTACTGACAGCAGCTAGTACAGTCGCCAAAACACAGCCTGCCTCCTTCCTGTTACCAAGGGAATTGCTCTCCCAGTAACAGATACTGTTCTGAGGTACCAGTGATACTTTCAGGGCCCTAGAGAGCCAATTAAGGTGAGGAAACTGTTCATGAACTAAAAAGCCACCCACTGATAGGGCTCCTGAGCTCCAGCTTCTGCACCTGCTGCACACTCAGTTCAGCTCAGCTCAGCAGCCCGCCCTCCACCTGAGAAACTTGGGTCACTGCCCACAACAGACCCCACAATGTTGGACACACTATTCAGAACCTGGAATGAGCAAAAGGCAGTTACCCTCCTCCCAGGCTCCAGTAGCTGAGATCTCACCCCATTTCCAATTCTCACCCAAGCCCATTAGAGCCCCTTCAGCTGAGTGGCTCATTAAGATAAGACTCATTTCCTTCTCTGACTCTGAGGTTGTAGCATCTTGCATCAGTCCCCTCTCTTTGGATCTTCCCAAAGCCCCAAGGCCTGCCCACTGTGGAACAGTGATTGCTCCCCTTTCAGCATTAGTAGTGTATCAGGGATATGCTGTGCCCTTAACTAGCTTCAGGAATCACGGGCTATGGTGGTTATTTGATGTTCTTAGAGCTCATCAAGTCCAGCCTTCCAAGCCAGAGAGGGCCTGGGATTGCCTTGTCAATTAGTGCTAGAGTCCAGATGAGCTCCAAGAGCTGTGACTTCCAGACCAGGGTTCTTCCAGCATCTTGATTGTATCCCCTACTTTGAATATGGGAATAGTAAGATACTAAACAAGCAAATTCTGGAATTTGAATCTCAGAATCAAAGTCTCCCAGGCTTGATTTGTCTTTTAATCAATTTGAAGAGAAAAAATAATGTTCCTTTGATTCACATTGTATATTTCACAAAGGAAATATACAATTAATTGCCTCTCCTCTCCCTAAAACATCAAATAAAACCATAGGAACCCTGAGAATCTTGAAGACAGAGTCAGCACATAGTAAATGTCAGTTTCAGGGATGCTAGTTCCATTCAGAGCTTGCTGCATTTATTTAAAGTATCACTTTGGTACTCAGCGGCAAATTTTCCAGATAGAATTTGACTTGGGACCATTTTTTATTAAGCTTAAAAGCAAATAGCCCCAAGTAGATACTCTCATAGGCTGAGTAGATCCATTTCCAATAACTAGCCTTTCCGCACAGAGTCTGCAGCTCCAGTCATCCCACTACATGATTAACCATTGTGTACTCAACAAATTCCCACCTTTATTCCGGTCCCCACCACTAAGCTTTTAAAGATCTTGCCCAGCTGGTCTCCTCAGAGCCTGAGAAGTGATGCAGACCCATTTTCCTATTGTGCTGGAGTTGCTGGGCAAAATCTCAGCTAGGTTGTGGCTAATTTTGCACTTGATCCAGCAATCATACTACTGGGTATACATCCAAAGGAAATAAAATCAGTGTATCAAAGAGCTATGGGCATTCCCATGTTCACTGCAGCCCTATTCACAATAGCCAAGATATGGAATCAACCTAAGGGTCCCTCAATGAGTGAATGGCTAAAGAAAATGTGCAATAGAGACACAATGGAATACTATCCAGCCATTAAAAAAAAAAAAGGAAATATCATTTGCGATAACATGGATGGTCCTGGAGAACATTACGTTAAGGAAAATAAAGCCAGGCACAGAAAGACAAATACTGAACAATCTCACTTAATGGGTAATCTAAAAATGTTGATCTTATAAAAGAAGTAGACTGTAGAACAGTGGTTATCAGGGGCTACAGTGGTTGAGAGTGGGGTGGTTAGGGAGATGGTCAAAGGATACAAAATTTCAGTTAGACAGGAGAAATAAGTTCAAGAGCTCTATTGTACAGCATGTTGATTATAGTTAATAATATATTATATTTGTGA